GTGCAACTCAAATCAGTTAATAAAGAGTGTAAAAAAGAATTCAGTATTAATGAAAGCTCTTCAGTCACTGAAAAAGTAATTCTTACTTAAAAGAATATGAAATTATGACAGAAAACAACTCTGTTTTTAATTCTTTGTAAGAATATTGTATAAAACTCAGAGAAAAACACCTTACTTTTTCAAGAGAAGTAAAAAACTATTTCTAAGATCTTTTTTTTGCATTAACTGCTGCAGAAGAATGAGATAGAAACTGCTAAGATATGCACTATTATATACTCTCTATCAAGACTTTTCCTCTTCAGAGTCTTGATATTATAGAGAATATAAGTCTGTTTCTATATAATAATGTAAATATTATCAGCAGAATGTAGAGAAACTGATTATTTATATCTCAAAATAGAAGACTTTGTCAATGATTATATCAATATAGAGTTAATTATAGTTATTGTGTCTGCTGATTATGTATCAAGTACAGTTGCTGAGGTATCTCTTTGTATTTTTCTGCTGGGGATGGGCCAGATCGGGAGGGGTGGTACAAGGGTGGGACTTGGTGTTGATGTCTTGGTACATCAAAGACAGAGAGGGTTTTTCGCGGAGGATGCACTTCAGATGTGTCTGTTGATTATGTGCTTGATACTATTGCCGAGGTATCTTTTTGTATTTTTCTGCCGGAGGTGGGCCAGATTGGGAAGGGCGGTACGTGGGTGGGACTTGGCGTTGATGTTTTGGAACATCAAAGATAGACAGGGTTTTCGTGGAAGGTGCTTCTCAGATATCTTCACAAATACAGGTCGGGGATCTTCCAAAATCGAGAAGATTGGCGCATATGGTTAGGTCTCTTCACCTTACAATTTGTATGGCAATTTGGCCCAGGGTTGTGGTGTGGTAGGGGTGAACGGGGGATAATCCCACACAGGAGTTTCGAACAATGTCTGGTTCAACGTTTGGCTGGATAACTCCACCACCACACGGGGTATGCGGTCGGCGATGGGGTCAAAATGCTCGTATGATCGAGGGCTTTTCGATGGATCTATCGGCGGGTTCTTATTCGAAAAATTGAGCGAGTTTGTGGTGGAGCGCTTGTTGTTCAGCTGTGAATAATATAGTATTGCATATATAATAAGACTTATAATAATTTTTGTGTGATACAGATCTTGAATATATAATAGAGTTGAAATTCAATAACACTGAATATCTTCAGAGTAATAAGATTGAAAGTTATAATATTTTTCTGAGATCTTCTGTATCTTTTTAGAGTTGCAGATGACTTCTTACTAACTTTCTTTCAGAGATATTTAACTTTGCAGCCTGTGATTATAGTAATAAATGAAAGAGAGATATTCTTAACTAATATCTATACAGAGAGAAACTCTTTCTGCAGAGATACAGACATTAGTGATGAGTTAATATAAAGATAATTATTATAAGTGAGAATGTCTGTAGTCAGTATATAAGATATATTAATTATGTTATAATTATCAAGTGCTGAGCTTACTAGCTGTGATAGTATAACATTCTTATTGAATTTCACACTGCTGAATATAATAATTTCATCTTTTATAAGATTTCATATTCTATATATCATTTTACTATAATATTCAATTAGAATTATTTATTCACTGTGTTTGATAAACTTGTTATAATCTTTTTAAGAATCTTCTTTGAGAATGTAAACAGATGATTTAACTGCCTGTAAGTCACTGCTCTGTGAGAACAGTCTGTCTTCTCATACTTTATAGAGAGTTAGTAAGATTCAGTTCTTCAGTTGAATTGTGTCTGAAAATAATAGAATGCTCATTAAGACTATGTTAATGTATAGTATCACTGTAAACACAGTCTCTGTTCATAGCTTGACTGATAGACCTGCTTATATCATTATAATATATGCTTTTAAAATAACAGTTTAAATGAACTATTCTGCACTATTATCTTAATTAAAGATATGAAGCTCTGTTAACTCTTATTTAACACTGAATTCAGTGAGAACTGCTTATGTCTATTAATCACTTATTTCAGCAGCTTCATCAGAATGTGTAAATATAACTTTTATATTCAGATTCTGAAGATATTTAAGATGAAAATTAATAACATTCAGTAGCTGATCTTTGTTCTTGAGAAAATATGCAGTCTTATAACATGTGATATCATTCATTATAAGAAGTAGATATCTGTAGTCTTGAAGAGATAAAGAAAAATTATTAAGAGTGTCAAAGAATTCACTGTCTTCTATAATATCAAAGTAAAGATAAGTACTGCAGATGTTTTCTCTTATTATAGAGATCTGTGAGATCTTCTTCTTAACTTTTACAAGTTTGCAGATCTCACAGAACAGCATTTCAGAGTCTCTTTTAATTGTAATATCAGAGATGAGATCTTTTATCAGTTATTAAATATCAGTGATATTCAGATGTTCTAGATGAACATGCTATGTAAAAAGTATATTATTGTAATTCAGAGATGTCTGTGCAACTGCAGCTAGAACAGCTTCACAGATACTATGAATAGAATAGATATAATAATTTGTTTTCACAGTATAGAAGTGTTAATTATATGCATTAATTATTTCAAAATCAATGATGTAGTTATTTTTATCTTGTAGAAGTTCAAAGTTAAATTCTTTATTAACAAGCTGACTGAAGCTTAAGAGATTATAGAAGACTACTGATAAGTAGTAAACATTCAGCAGATTCAATTTCATTTCATTTATATAAATACAGATCTTATCAATATCAGTGAGTGTAATCAGCTCATCATTGATTTCTTCTGCAGAGTCAAGTTCTTCTTTATTATTTAAAGTGTGTATATATTTAAAGACACTTCTATCAGATGTCATAGTGTAGAAAGCTGTAGTATGTAAGTATTATAGAGAATCTCTACAGACTGTAGCAGCAGATAGAGCTTTTACAGTTAATATAAAGTTAAAGTTCTTTTCACTGATAAAGAATGTTGCATTATTTTCAGTATAATATTCAATTATAGAACAGTTGATTCTTTAATATTCTAATAATTGATTTTTTCAGTTCTTAAAAAAGTAATCAGTTTCATCATATTTATAGCAGATGTAATACTTACACTTTATCACTGTATTAAACATGTTCTTGTAATAAAGATTGAATATATTTCTTCTTCTACTGTAATTAATTTACTGTGATCTGAGCTTGCTTATCTTAATAAGTTTTGCTTTGTTATTATCATTCTTGTTCTTTTTCTTTCTCTTTTTATTTTCAGCTTCTTTCACTGATATTTTCTTCTTATTATCATTTGATCTGACAACTGTCTTATAATGAACAAGATTATCAATTTCATCTGTAAGAATGTGAAATGTGTCAATTAAAACTGCTTTTAATTTAATTTCATAATATTAGATATCATAGTCTTTCAGTTCTGAGAGCTTTGTAATAATTTTCATTTAATATAACTGTAATTATTCTTGAATTTATAGAACTTATCTATTCTGACAGCTGAATTTATAATGAGATTGAAATTTATTCTCTACTTCTATAATTATTACTTACACATAATTTTCACTGTATCTGCTTCAGAAAATTCTGTCTCTTGTAAATAAGTAAAGTATGTCATTATTTCAGTGATTTCATTAATAAGACTATCTTGATTAAGACTATCTTAAGTGAGTATAAAGTGTTCTATTAAGAGAAGATCTTCTCTCTCTCTTGAACTTATGTTATATTCTGTATTCATTTTAATTCGTATCTTTTAAGCTATCTGAGATGGTAATTGCAGCTCAAGCAGCTCTTATTCAGAGGTATTATATATATATATTAACTGTGTCAGATATCTTCTGCTTCTAGTGATTAGACTGACCGTGTGACCGTATCTGAAATCAGAATCAGATTTTTTAATAGTCTTATTATCAATTTAACTGATTTTATTACATAGTTTTAATAATAGATAGTAGTTTCATACTCTCTTAGTGAGACTTACTGTCTACTCTTATTACATTTTTCAAATGAGATCATGATTTTCACTTCTGAATTTAAATTATTTTTATTGCTTTAAATGACTTTAAATCTCATTTAAGTGTTATTAAAAAGTGTTACTTTTTAAAAAATTAATAATAGTCTAAAAAAAACCTTAAAATGTTTAAAAATAGTAACTTTATATCAAGAATGAAACTAAATGAAATTAAATGAGATCACTTTCTTATTTTTTTCAAGTCATGATTTCATTTTAAGATCTGATATATAGTTACTTTGCATGTTTTTTTAATAACTAGTCTCAGCAGAATTCATGCTAAGAAATGTATGAGATCAGACTAAATGAGATCAAATGTGAAATTCATAGTCTCAGCAGCTAGTCTACTAGTGATTAACACAGATTTAAGTAAGACAGTATTATCTTTAACAGTGAAGCTGCTTACAGAGATATATTCACTGTTTATACTTTTATTTATATAAAAATGCAGAGATTGCTTGCAGACTTATTATAGAAGTTCATAGTAACTTAATTAATTTTAAAATTAATAGAGTTCTTTTTAATTTAATTTATAATAAGTGACTGCAGAATCACTAATACAGTGTTTTAAAATTATAATTAAGTCTTTAATTTAAAAGTATGAAGTGTAATAATATAGCAAATTAAAGTGAATTCTTATATATAAAAGAGATATAATCTGATAAAGATAATATAATATAGTAGTTAATTATATTATCAAGATCTATCTATTATATAGCTTTTTATATATAATAGGCATTTATTAAGTAATCAGTGAATATCTTGCTTAGACAGAAGCAGTCAGCCTGTAGAGAGAATCTGATATATTATAAATTAATATTGAATAAAATAATTTAAAATTTATATTAAAATTTATATAAATTATAAAAATAAGTAAAAATTATAAAATACACTTTTTAACTTGTAATATTTTAAAAAATTTTAAATTTTTTTTTCTTTTATTTTTGTTAATTCACAATAATAATAATTAAAATATAGAGAGAAATAAAATAAAAAGTAATAGAGAAATATATAATTATTTATTAATTTTATAACATACTGAATTTATTAAGAAAATTTTAATTTTTTATTAAATGAGAGAAATGAGAAATGCATGAAATAAACTTAATAGAAGAATTGTGGATTTTAAAACAACAAAGCAGAATCTGAGAAGTTTTTTTCTTTTTTTTTTTAAATTCCCTTCTTTACTAAGCCCATTTGACAGGGCATTGAAATAAAGAATAAAGTACGCTATTTTGTTGGCGTTTGGGATAGCGCGATCGTAGCTGTAATGAGTGGTATGACTCAAGCTAATATGTGAATGAAAGACACCAACTTCATGGAGATACCTTAACGCTTTTTCACCTATGCTCAATGCGAATACTAGTCACTCAAGAACAGAGCCACATCCACCAACTATCATCATTTCCGGGGTTCTAGGCCGACGCGGCTTCCGGCTCAGCAATAGAATCGGTTGGCGCACCCCATCCATCATCCTGAGTAGCACCCCTAGAACCTTCTCCTCCGTCATTATTGTCGTCTTCGTCATCTGTATCGTCGTTAAACAGAACGTCGTCTCCCTCTGGTTTCTCGGACTCGAGGAAGTCAGGCACGGGCTGCTTGCACTCCAACAGGATCTTAACCAAGTCTGCGGCAATGTCGCTGTTTCGTTCGTGGTTGTAGAAAGACGAAGCCAGCCCTTCGTTTCCGATACGGGCAGTGCGTCCTGGGAACATTCAAATTGTACGTTAGTTAGAACGAAAGAAATTAGAGACCATTTTTTGCCTTTTTTTTTAAGTTGATGGGTTCCTCATACCAATCCGATGGATATACTCCTCGATTCCTCCGTGGGCGGCGCTAGGCATGTCGAAATTGATAACATGCATGACGTTTTTGATATCAAGACCACGCGCAGAAACGCCAGTTGCAACCATGATGGGCGACTTCGCTGTTTTGAATGCACGCCTACATAGTTTCTCAATTGGTATTGGTTAATCCTCCAAAATTTCCGTGATTATGAACAACTTACAAAGCATCTTCACGCTCACGCTGAGTACGGTCCGAATGAATAGATGTACTGGGGAGGCCCATGTTGTACAGGTAATCATCGAGAAGGTCGGCTTGTGCCTTTGAATTGACGAAAACAAGGGTACGCGAGGGGGGCATAGAAAGAAGAAGGTCGTAGATGGCCTCCTTCTTCTTATCGTCATCCGTGTAGTAGATCTTCTGGCTGACGTTTAGGTGGGCACTGCCAGCACGCCCGATGCGGATGCGTACATGGTCTGCTGCAAGGTATTTGCGGGCTAGTTCACGGCACCCTTTGTTGAAAGTTGCGGAAAACATCATGTAGCGATGGTCCGCGTCTTCATTGGTATCTGTGCGTATTGTCAGCAGGTTCATACATTTCAATTTACCCGTGCATGATTTCTGTATATGTACTGTACCTCCGCCAGACATCAACTTGTTTAACTCGATTTCCCAGTCGGAGTGAAGCATTTCATCCGCTTCGTCGATAATAGTGAATTTGACACGGTGCAGGGAAAGTATGTGCGGCTTCTCCATGAAGTCAAGAAGACGCCCTGGTGTCCCGATGAGGACGTCACAACCCTTTTGGAGCTCGAGGCGCTGCTCGCGGGATGGCCCGCCACCATACACAACACAGGGCCGCAACATAGAACGGTAGCATAGACGACGAGCCTCGTCAAAGATTTGAGTCGAAAGTTCACGGGTTGGGGCAACGATAAGGACTAGAGGCTCCGCGCGAACACAATCCAAAGATTCGTTAAACCCATTGCCCAGGTCAGGACGACGAGCGGCGAGCTTCTTTGCTTTCCCCATTAATTTGGACAACACAGGGATCAGAAAGGCGGCAGTTTTCCCGGAACCTTTTACTGGGTCAGTGGAATGTGTTTTCGGGTTCAACAAGGAAATTGGTCACTTACCGGTTTGAGCCACAGCTATAAGATCATTTCCAGCCAAAACGGCCGGGATGGCGTACGCTTGAATTGGGGTGGGAACATTGTAGCCACACAGCTTGATGTTCTCACGCATAACGGGGTGCAATCCAGCATCATCAAACTACACGCAGTCTCAGTATACCAAGCAGCAAGGAAGACAGAAAGCAACTTACGCTCTTGACAGGATCAGGCTGATGTGTTGTCTCAGCCGTCACCTTAACTTCACGGAGGCTAGTGGCTGTTAGAATGTCGCGAACGTTATGTATCCCAGTACCATAGCCTTCGGATTCCCCCCAAAATTTTGAGACTACCTACCGATCGAACTTATTCCCTGCACGATTCAGGTACTCGTTACGGAATAACATTTTCTCGAGCTCCTCATTGCGAGGGCCCACGTCACCATACTCCTCCTTCCACTCGTACTTCGCAGCGTTGGAAGCCCATTCAGGGAGGTCGGTTAAACCAGCGTCCTCACCAGGTTTAGGAGCAGCATTATAGGTCTCATAGTCGTAGCTCTGAGGCTCTACCCAGCCCCTTTGGCGTGCCAGGGCCGCAGCATCCTCTTTCAATTTTGCAGAATCTGCAACCTCGTCGATGGCCTCTGCCATCTTCTGCACGCCAAACCTTTCGTTTTCTTTCCCGGTAACAGACATTTTTGGAAGTGTGTCTGGTCTCAATAGTATGGAGGGGAGTCGGACTATAGGGTCTAGAGGAATAGTCAGTTTAATGATCGACTGTCTAGCGGTGGTATCTTCAACAGTAAGGAAAATAGGGGGTGAAATGGGGATGAAACGACGCCCACAACAATGCAAAAAAACAACCACAACAACCCAGAATAAACAAAAAGCGGTGCAAAACGCCAGACACTGGAACTGCACCAAACTTCAACCCAGTAGGCCTTGCGAGGATAGTAAATTCGGTAAATAGACAGACCTCGCACCCAGCGGCTTTTGCTCTAGGGCGCCTTGCGACTTAGAGACGAAACATATCCCGCCGAACACGAAAATAAAAGCAAGATTCCAAAACCAACGCGAAGATCGAGGACAGCTTTAAAAGACACAATTAATGCAGACCATGTCTATCCTTGGTCCATGAAAAGAGCTGAAAGGAGTGCGGGATAATAGAACATGGGATGGATGGTCATACATTAACTTAAAAGCTAGTAAAACAGGAACACACACTTACTAGACTTCAAGATGACAACGTCGAGCTGAGCTGTGGAGATTAATCTACTGATGATGGCCTGAAGGGCAACAACAGTAGAATACGACACAAATGTGCCCAATGGAGAAATTTGAAAGTGGGATGAGCAGGTTCTTCCCGTTCGAAGTATGCAGAGGGAGGAACTGGATATAAAGCAGTGAAAGGGAGTAGATGAGGGCTGGCGAAGGGGCAACAGAGTGAAGAGAGAAAAACACAACACGCTATTTTGTTATGATTGTGTGTGTTGTGTGTGTTGTGTGTGTTTATTTCTTTTAGTTCTTCTGTTGCTGTTGTTACAGAAAAAAAAAAAAAAAATTGAAAAGGCTTTAAATATGCATAAGTCGTCTCCCTGACATATCGTTGCCATACCATCATACCACTCCCCTCATGCCAGAAACTTCTTAATACATATCTATACAAAGGCACCACAAAAATAAAGCTGAAAATGCGCTTTTCAAAGGATGAGATATGTCTCTCCTGTCTTGCTCCCAAAGGCTCCGTATTGTATGTTATTACATATCTGTGCACGCAGTCTGATGCTACACTGCTTGTAGCAAGAGGCTAAGAAAAATATCCTTCAAATACAGCATGCTCCCGTCATATTCACAAATGCAGAATCCCGTAGAAAGAAAAGATAAATAGTAAACATTCAATGGGTAGAATACTCAAAGAAGAAAATTGAGAAAGCAACTGGCTTCCCAAACATGGTTCAGAGTATGGATGCATATTTAAACAAGTCCGAGTCGTGGAAGTAAGAGAATTTGCCGAAAAGCGGATCATCCATTTTCCGATTGCTCTGAACTTGCATAGTACGGAAGGAGAAAACCTTCCAACTAGGAAGTATAAAATACATTCATGAACTCCGGATGACTTACCACCGCCATTGAGGGAGGGGGTAATAAGAAAATCGATGACTTTTGTCGTAGACTATTTGGGTATCTCTAGTAAACTAAAAGACTGCTGGAGTGTTCCTTACCCGCATAATATTCGCCAAGAGAAAGATACAGAAGAAACCATAACGTTCAAGCAAACCCATACCCTTGAAGATTGAAGATGAAGGAAAAAAAAGAAGGCGAGTGAAACGCAAATGGAAGTGAGAAGCAACGAAAATAATAGAAGAAGGGAATCACCATCTTCCATTTCCCCTCTAACTTAATTCCCTAATTAACGCTGCATTCAACCATCACAAACTGTCCAACGCTCGGCACCCCATCCGCCACAATATAAACCACATATGGCCCAGGCGGCGCAATATTGTTATCCGGCGGCATAGTAACCAAAATTCTTTGCCTTATGCGATTAGGATGGTAGCCCTCATGATCCAGGTATAGCATCCGATGGCCCATATGTAGCGAGTGGGTAACGAACCCACCATGGTAGAGCACCACGCGCAGGTCTTCGGGTTCTCCATTGACTTTGAAGTTCACCATGAATCGCCTACTATCCGCAGGGAAACGTTTGTTAGGTAACTCAACATCGTATGGCCGAAATTTGTCTTTTCCGTCCAAGAGATAGTGAGGTGTATATATCTCTACCCTGAACTCGGTGACGAATGCTAGTTCCTCAATGTCGGGATTGGGTACCAGGACCGGTTGTTCCACAGGGTTTGATCCCGCAACCATAACCGTACCGTCTAACAAAACGAGCGCGACAGAGTGGTACATTCGTGCGATTTCTGACTGGCCCCCGACACTCCACCGGCGGCCCACGGCAGCGTCGGGGTCATAGATCCATGCGTCAAAGGACGGGTCTCTTGCGATCCCAAATCCTTGTGCACCACGGTTGCAACCATTGAGCCAAAGTATCTTTCCGTCAGGAAGTATCATACCTTCTATCATAACTCTACCTTCGGGCATCAGCTCAAGCTCCCACTGAGGATCCTCCGCCAATGGCTTAATTCGTCCACATGTCGGATCCGTTGGACTGGCTATCCCCACGAATGCTCCTCCACCACATACTATTATGTCATCATCCCATCCATTTGCGGCGCTCAGAGGCAGAAGGACACTCCCTCCAGTATTTGGATAACTACGGTAATCACCAGGCAGGTCTGGCAGTTTTTTAACCGTCTCCTGACCAAAGGCATCGAAAACTTCAGCTGACCGTGCAACAAACACGAAAACGGTGCCGTCCTTCAAAAGATGTAGGAATGGGTACATGTAGTAAGGTTGGTTTTCTTCGAGAATTGGAAATAAGACGCTCTGGCCATGAGAAATTCCATTTTTATCGAGAAACTCGTATGTCGGGTTGTTGTTCGCTATCACGGAAGGATTGAGCCCATTAAGGCTACCAGAAGCAACGAACACTGTTCCATCGCGAAGAATTTGAGCACTTGCATACCATCTGTTCGATGAAAGCTCGTTACCCGGTTCATCCCATGGCGTTCCGTCCCAACCTCCATCCTCTAAAGGTCGTGTTAGGTATCGAATTCCTCGGAATCCATCGCCAACTGTAGGGTCCATTGCCAACGGAGCATTTCCACCAAGGTTGATCAGGCGCCCATCTTCTAGAAATACTCCACCTGAGCAAAACGCATTTGTCTATTATTATGATGTTAGTCCTACCAGTGGATAACAGAGGCAGCACCTAATCTCACCTTATAGCCCAATGGCACTACCTCGTTCGTCAGCGGATCATATTCAGACGAATACGCATAGTGACCGTTGTCTAGGACTAGCTGGGTATAGTTTTCGACCTTGTCTACGAATACAACCCGACCATTGGCCAGAAGAGCGGCAGACATTGCGGGAACCCCGGATTGGCCAACAACTTTAAACGTTCCGTGAACCGTGTCTGGCTGATAGGTACTGGGACTCAGAAGCTCGAAAAGGTTTTCTGTCTCACATGCCCCTGACTGACAGCCAGGGCCACAATGAGATGAGGTGTTCCCACAAAACTTAAACAGAGTGTCAGCCTGAATTTCGATCATAAACTGTCGACGAAAATGAGAATACTTACACCGTACGCGGAGCAACACGGTCCTGCCGGCCACTCACCGCAAATGGTATTACCGTTGTCAGGGCCGCAAAGACCGTCAATGGTTTCCTTAGACCCTTCTTCTGGCTTTTCTTGTTCCTGCCTTTGTCTCAGTTTGGTATCATATGTCTTTCGAGTTAATAACTTTGATGCAGGCTTGGGGCCTTGGGGGGTCCTAGTGGAGAGAAGGCTATGTGCGCTAGCCATGACATGTTCACTTGGATGTTCCAAGTTCCTACAATCTAATTGTCAGTTTATTTGGACACAAAACTATGTGAGAGCCTGCCTATGATATATTCCTGTTATATTCCTATTTTTCATGCCACTTTATGGAGTAGTAGTGGTCATGTTATAACCTGGGACTCGAACACGCTATCTTCCGACATGTGGCCTCACAGGAAGAGTTCCCTAATTAGGGCTTAGAGGAAAGCAGACATACTGAGAATCGCCTGGAGTATATGTGCCCTTCGCGATTCGATTCCCGTCGGCGTCGCCATCGCCACTCTGTAGATCGCAAGTATCATCTCCACCCTCCTGTGATACCACCTGATCGAATATGGGTGACGAAGTGGCAGGTTCGGCTCTATCTGTTGCAAAATATGATGGTTGAGTTGTTGACACTTGAGAACCATCCGAGGCATGCGGATCATCGTCCTCACATCTACAATAGTGAAAATTAGCAGCTGCGCTAACGAGTCAAAAGTCCAGAGATCAAGAAACATCCAACTCACATTCCACGCCGCGAACAGTGCTGGCCACGAAAACATCCCTGAAATGCTGGCAAAATCGGGTCACACTTAAGAGGGGAATGCTCGAAGATGATGTTTGCGTGAACCAAGCAGACGAGATACAGGAGTAATAGAAGCTTCATCTTCGAGGGAGGTGAGTAGATGACTCGGATAGGCTGATGGTAATGGTTTGAAGAATAATAACCAAAGGACTGGAGAGTGATTCGGTAAAGATAGCGAAGCAACCAGAAACCGCGTTCAGACTAAATATCGAGATCGAGATCGAGACATGCAGTTCCCATGGATAAACTGCGATGTCCTGGAAGGCATCTACGGCAGATAATGTCTTGTTTTTGGGGGGGAATAAATGCCCCTGTGATTGTAAAATGATGAACAAGACAGATGGCAGCAACCGCAACTGTGGTATACCAGAATCGATAGCACAAGATTCACTGTGATGTACTGTATACGAATATGTATGATCACGTCTGATTTCATTTACTAACAATTCTCTCACCCAAGGTTGCAAAATATTCATTATCAACACCCTCGAGCGGTCTTTCTTGTGCAGCCATGATCGCGCGTCACTGCCATGGATGTCCAGACAGCAGCCACGACGGAGAGGATGTTTTGCAGTTTGGAAAAAAGAAGAGTAAGAGCAAACCAGAGAATAGGCGAATATCATCAGCATTTGATATTCCCGGAAACAGCAGACGCAGACAGAAGAAAGATATTTTGTGGATCGAACCGTTCTATGTCGCCTCCCCTTGGTTGAGTCCAGACCAACATTATCCCTAGCTGTACGGAGTAGACGCACGATCAACACGCGCGGTATATATAGTTATATTTAGAGAATAAAATCGGTAATAATAAAAGCGAATGCTTAGAATGCTAGTTAAATAATATCTTATTAATATCAATTTTATATTTAAGGCGCTGTTGGTCTGTTTCCGCTTGGCTTGTGCCCAGCCGCCAATCGGGGGTTCGTCTGGGCTGAGAAATGCATGCTGGAGAAACATCGGCAGCGGTTGACAGCCATCACCACCCAAGAATATCCAACATTCTCCTCAATTCGATTTTTATATCGCGCGATGCCATTCTTCCTTGTCTTGTATCACCGATTGCCCCGGTTTTTCGACGTCATCCTCGGCGCCCGTCCGCCCTCGACCCCCATTTCCTCGGCGCCATCCATGAACTCCCGGCCAGAAGGAGATATACGCGGTAAGCGTGGGCACGGCGACCGCAAAAAAAACCTCAACACTCAAAAAACCCCCCTCCCAGGCTTGTTGAAATTCTTTATTATAATGACCATCAAATGCGACCAAACACTCCCACGCCTGACTTTGCGCCGCCATGCGTAGTGCCAGAAGATCTCTCACCGAGGCCACTGCTGCCGCCCGCCTCAGGCATCGCAAGTCGCACTCCGAAGATCGCGGCTTCGCTGGACGCATTGAGGAGGCAATGACAAACCCGGGTTCCGTGAAGATAAACGTCAAGGGTGCTTTCATTGTCGAAGAGGAAGACGAATCCCCGTCTCCGCCTAATGGCACGCCAAAGGATGGTGTTCACTATGAACGCAAAGATATTCGTTTGCCTCACCATACGGCCGTCGTGAGTCATGTTGCCGTCGATGTATGTTATTTTTTATTTTTTATTTTTTTTTCCCCTGCCCTCCCCCGCACTTTATTAATTACCCAGTTTTTCAAAAAATGAAATTGAACAAAAATCCCTACACAAAATACCAATCCAAGTTGCTATCTATCTAGGTCTTCGTATCCGTGAGCTAACTCGCTTCCTTTGCAGATCGGAGGGTCCTTAGCGAAACTGGTCTATTTCTCTAAAGAGATCGGATCACCAGACAACGGAGGACGCTTGAATTTTATTAACTTCGAGACCGAGCGGATCGATCTATGTATTGAGTTCATAAGGGAGCTGAAAGAACGCCACGAGAGAAACTATGCCACTTCCCCCGGTGAGCTCTGCGTCATGGCCACTGGCGGTGGTGCTTTCAAGTACTACGACCATATTAAAGAATCCTTGGGGATTAATGTGCTTCGGGAAGATGAGATGGAGTGTTTGATTATTGGTATGGGCTTTTGATCTTTCCTTCTGCTATCCGCTACGTATGCACGATCTATTCATTGTAGGATGATAATGTAACAAATGTGATTTCGTTAGGGCTGGACTGGTTCATTACCGAGATCCCGAACGAAGTGTTCGCCTACAGCGAGACCCTTCCAACAGAGTTCGTAGAACCTCGACCGGATGTCTACCCGTACTTACTTGTGAATATCGGCTCTGGAGTGTCAATGGTGAAAGTCTCAGGACCACGGCAGTTCCAGCGTGTGGGAGGAACTTCTCTGGGTGGCGGCACGTTTTGGGGCATAATGTCTTTGCTCACTGGATCGCGGACTTTCGACGACATGCTGGCCATGGCTGACAGAGGCGACAACAGTGGCGTAGACCTACTCGTCGGAGATATCTATGGCACGGATTATAGCAAGATTGGATTGAAGGCTACAACTATTGCTAGCACTTTTGGAAAGGTGTTTAAGATGAAGAGGCTGGCCGAGCGGCATGCTGAGGCTGGAGAGGGCCCGTCACATCCTGAAAGCGATTCGGATACAGACGCCTCGCAGTCAGCCATGAGGATATGAGTCGAAGCTTGTTGTACGCCATAAGGTATGCATATCCTTCATCTGACATCGGAGCTTTTTTTTTTTTTTTTTTTTTTTTTTTTTTTTTTCATTTTTCTTTCTATTCTTTTTTTTACTAGCCCTCTAGGGAAAGCTTTTATTAATTCGGAATTTTACCCCACGTTTAGTAACAACATCGGCCAAATCGCTTACCTTCAATCCGAAAAACACAAAATAAAACACATCTACTTTGGCGGATCCTTTATCCGTGGCCACCGCCAAACAATGAACACGCTCTCCTACGCCATTAGATTTTGGTCGAACGGAGAGAAAGAGGCATATTTCTTGCGCCATGAAGGATACCTTGGTGCTGTTGGTGCTTTCCTCAAAAGGAAGCCCGAGACCTGGGGACGCAGAAAAAGCCTGGAGGACGCGGTTGTTTCTCGATATGCTGGCTGCAGGGAGAATTTGCGTCGGTGTGCTACTAATGAAGACCGGGAGTTTGGGGTGTCGTAAAGCCAGCTACCACAACCTCCGTCGCACAATGTATTACCATGCGTCCGCTTATCATTGATGGTTTTGTATTACAGCATGTTCGCGCGCGCTTCCTCTACCTTTGGTGTTACCGCTCAACGGCTTGCCGTGTTCACCTCCACGATCCCTCTCCTGGAGTGGCAAGCTCTTCCAGTGCTACACTGCTTTACTAGACACTTATGTTATGTTGCCGGATCGCGCATTATTATACCTTGCAATTTTTGGTGTTCTGCATTGTCCTGACGCTTTCTTTGGTTCTCCTTTTCTTTCGTTTATTTGTGGAACATGCATAAACATATACCTATCTCAGTAGATGCATGGGCGCTTTTTGGACATGAGCTGCATGCGCCCTGTTAATTAGAGGAATGTCTCTCAGTTGTTCGCAATGACATTTTACCTTTTTACATTTTTTGTCCTCCCAGCGCCGGGGCCAAGCTTATCACCACGTGATAGATTGCTGCTTGGTAATATATGACTAATCTCGGTTTTCGGCCGTTCTCTTCTATCTTCTATCCGCAACCTCAAGTTCCATATGCAAAGATAAGAATAGCGACAGCGCAGAAAAATCTAGCTCTTCTCTAACAGCAGAAAGCTCCGATTCCATCTCGCGCTACATGCGCCAGTATACAATGGCCTTACAATGATCAAAATTGCTCTCACATGGCTACCCAAGGCTCCCTTCCTTCCGCTCCCTCACCCTCTCCCCCTTCTCCACCTGTGACAGCAGCCATATCTACTGAACCACCATCAGGAGAGGTAGCGGGAGCAGCACCAGAGTCAGGAACAACTGCAACATCACGACCTACGCCTGCGCCTGCGCCTTCTCCAGCTCCAATCCCTCCTCCAGTCCCTGTCGAAACACATCCAAATCGTGCTGGCCTCAAACCCCCCCCGCCCAGACGCGTTCTGACAGACCCAAACCGGCTCGCGCCTGAAGATGCTTACTACGCACACTCTCCTCCACGATTCCGTCCTCATGTCGCGAATAATCACGCTGCAAATCTCCGTCTGCCTGCGGCAGTTGCAGCATTAAGGCCTCCTCCCGCGGTACCAGTGGCTGAACCGCGACGGGTGAAGGAAGCGAGGAGAAGACTGGGATCGAGTCGGAGGAGGTCGAAGGGCGCGTGGAAGAAGTTATTGTGGGTTAAACAGTCGTGTACGTTTCTCTCTACCATCGTGCTCGTTGTGATACAGTCAATTGTCGGAAGCTAATATTTTTCATCATGCTTTGTTCTTGTGTTCTAGATCCGGATAATTATACGGATACTGAAACATTTCTTGACCATCTCCAGCGCAATCCCCGTCTCCGGCCCTATGATTTCTGGCCGTTGGTCGCGGATTCAACTGTCATTGTGCAGCATGTCTGCTCTGTCGTCATATTCGCCTGTTGCTTCAGCGGCATTTTCCAGGAGCGAATTAGTCCCGTCTCGGTGGTGGGATGGGGAAGTATATGTACAATTTTAGGCTGGGTGCTATGGGATTTTTGGGTTGGGAAGGAACAAGAAGAAGAAGCTCGACTGTCATTAATGGGAGATGTAGCGGGAGGTGATGCTGCATCTGTATCTGGTTCATCTACCAACTCTGCCAAAGCTGGTCACTGTGAGAGGAACCAGAAGGAGAACCAAGTCCCCGGCCTTGGCTTACAACTCTCTACAACTAACCTCGATTACCGGCAGCTGCGACGCCGCAGTACAGGCCTGAGCACTCTTAGCAATCGCTCAAATAGCGCGTCAGCCTGCTCCGTTTATTCGGGGAACTCATCCCACTCTCCAAATTCCCCGACATCGCCCTCAGCGCCAAGCAACGGTTCCGCTCATTTCCCCTCTTACCATTCCTCAAACCAATACCACCAGTCTCTACACTCCACCAATAATACCGCTACCCTCTCCCCGCGCAACCGCCAACGCCTCGAAACAGCCAAATCTGCCCTCTTAATCTTCTGCGCCCTCCTCGGCCTCAGCCCGATCCTCAAATCCCTCACAAAATCCACAACTAGCGACTCCATCTGGGCCATGAGCTGCTGGCTCATGGTAATCAACATCTTCTTCTTCGACTACAGTAGCAACAGCGGTGGTAGTGGCACGGGGGCGAGTAGTGAGAGTGGTGCCACGGCCGCAAAATTCCCGGCCTCCTTGTCCACAAATGCCGCCGTCATGGCATCCACGGTGCTGGCCTCACGTCTGAAGTCTACCACCCACGTGTTCAGCCTGACCCTATTCTCTATCGAAGTCTTTGGTCTATTTCCTGTTTTTCGTCGCCATCTGCGGGCGATCTCCTGGATGGGTCACGTAATACTCACAGTTTTACTTGTGGTAATTGCCAGTGCGGCAGTGGGAATTACGCTGCGTGGTGGGTATATGTCGGCAATACTGGGCATGTTTGTTGGGTGTTTTTCGACCGCTCTGGTTATGGGAGGTTGTAGTTGGTGGTTGATCAGTTTACAGAAATATAAGAATGTGGTGGCCGGGCCTTGGGATCCGGCCAGGCCGGTGCTGAGGAGGCATTGGGATTGAAGAGATAGTATTCAATGAGAAGAGAGTATTGAATGTGTGGGTGTATGTGTTGGATCTTACTTGATAAGCTCGAACTGCTCTTTCTTACTTTTTTTACCAATAAAAGGAATGCTAGAACAACCTGACTGGGCTGGACGGAAACAGGGTTGGGAAAGGTTTGTTGTCCTCTATTACATGGGGCTCAATGTTATAACATATAATTTAGATATACTTAATTAAGAAATAAAGAAGATTCACAAGATTGAATAATTATCTGCCCTTCCACATGCTATATTCCCAGAGAGGAAAAGTTTTCACTTCCTTTCCCAATTTTCCCGCCTGATTGATAAACATGCATGTAGGGGGAAAACCCAACTCTTAACGTCTATCGTTCCCCTCCAAGCTCAACAACCCGTCCCAATCACCAGGCTGAGACTGAACCCGCCACATGTCTATCAGCTACCTTCCTCAGTTCCCTTTCACCCCTCCAAGGTCTCCCGGCTAACAAAGCTTGTAGGCTATTCTTTCAGTACCCATCTTGCCAGCTAGCCGGGGATCATCTCTGCAAAGAATATAGGATGGCGCAATCCAGTCCAGCTCAAATAGGCCTGTCTCCCACAGGCTGTCCGTGGTGCGCGCATGATCAACGCGGTAACCCCCCTAGCCATACCAAATGTGCCTGTTGCAATGAGCTGGAAGAAAGGAGATCGATCCTGAAGAGATGGGTATGTTGAAACACTAAGCGTCTCGAAACTTAGAAACTACTATTTGCATGTACATGTTCATATCAGGTCTGGAAACAGCCAGTAAGTTGCGGATATGTACAGAACTTTCGTTGCTTGGGTTTTTAAGGAAGATTTGATGGTATTCGCAAGGAGCAGGGGCCCCAGTAGGAAAGAAAACAGTCATCTCTCTCCCCACCTCTCTTTGGTAATATGCCGACTTCCCACCTTGAAATGATCAACAGAAGGTTAAGCTTATACAATGAGATGGTGTGCTTAGAGGAGAATGTTCCTACTTCTACAATTATGCAAGAAATTGGATGTACATGTACGTGAATGTACATTACCTGCACAAGGCAGTTACTACAAATGACAAATATTGATATTGAGAACTGTGACAGAGTCATAGGAAGCCAGGCCAGAACGGGAAAGAAAGCAGGCCACAAATGGATAAAGCAAAACAAGATGATGGAATAACAATAATGATGGAGAGCAGCGCGAGCTATGGGTACGGTACGGTGCCCCAAGATAACAAGAGGATGTCAGATCTTCCTGCCCAAGGCGCGCTGGTGGATACCTGCGATTCATGGCAGCTGGCGGACTTGTTGACGTACGGTGGACAGGGGGTGGATAAGGTTGTTTTCATCCTTGAAGAAGAGAGTAGGGATGTTGTTGGTGTTCAGATTCCATTTTTGAGAAGTGGGAGGTTTAGCAAAGGATGCAAAGGTAGATAGGGGATAAAAAAGAGAATGCCCGTTGAGCTTGATCTCATCTCCGCTCATATATACCCTCTCCACTTGTCTTTTTATTCTTCTATGGTATATTACCTCACTAGTATTTTCAAAGATACTTATTTCAAATGTTTGATTTCTCATGCCACCTTCGCTAAAATTCGTGGTATAGTTCGTGTGCGATTTTATCTTGTTCTTTACAGGATAAAGGTCGTATGAAAATTAGGGCCACCCTAGTCGAGTCAGCCAGGTGGATGCATCACTGTACTCGCAAGGGATACGATAGTGAGTGAGCTTTAAGGAATTTGATAATAGCCAGACGTTTGCAGCGTACTATCAACACAAATGGAAAAGTTTCAGTTAAATTATGTCAGGCGAATCTAGTGAGAAAAATTACACAAAGTTCATCATCATGTCCAAAAAAGGTGTATATAAATGTAAAACTATCTTCAATGCTCGTTGCAGAGTCAGAGCTTTCTGACATGCAAACCAACACTTAAGAAAAGAGAAACGAAGTAAAAGTCCGAAGGACAAATAATTACATGCTGAAGAAGAAAGCACAGACACCAACGGCTAAGGTCAGGAGCCACTTTCCGCTCAAGGATGTTGCCGGAGCACTTCCTATGTAGTCTGGTGGTGACGGGCTTGTCGGGTGGACTCCTGATCCAGAGGCGCCTGGGTAGCTGGCTGCTGGACCTGAAGGAGCGGGTGGAGTCTGAGACGGACATCCGTCTCCGCCACAATGTTCGGTTGAGAAAGTTGAAGGGTACCCGCCAGCCGGAGGGGTTTCGGCAGGGTAGCCGGGGGAAACTGGCGGTGGTGCAGTTGGCCCAACACTAGACGAGGTTGAGCCACACCCTGTTCCTGGACAGTACGTTGTAGTGTATGTGGCTGTGATTGTGGTATATCCCGTCGGGCAAACCGTGGTGTAGGTGGTAGTGATTACTGTGGTGATTGTCGTAGGTGCTGGATCTGAGGGGTATTTTGAGATGGTGATTGAGGTGTGTGTAGGATATACAGACTCAGTGTCGGAAGGGTAGGCCGTCTCTGTATCAGTAGGGTAGACGTCAGTGGGATAGGCGGTAGGGGAGACTGTCTCGGTGAGAGTTGGATACACGGTCTCAGTCGGGTAGGGTGTTTCAGGGCAGTCACTCTCAGTGTCAGTCGGGTGGACAGTAGGGTCGATAGTCTCAGTGCCCGTAGGGTCGACAGTAGGATAGACAGTCTCAGTGCCGGTAGGGTCGACAGTTGGATAGAGAGTCCCAGTGCCGGTAGGGTCGACAGTGGGATAGACAGTCCCAGTGCCGGTAGGGTCGACAGTGGGATAGACAGTCTCAGTGCCGGTAGGGTCAACGGTGGGATAGAGAGTCTCAGTAGGATACACAGTTTCAGTGCCGGTAGGGTCGACAGTGGGATAGACAGTCTCAGTAGGATACAAAGTCTCAGTGCCGGTAGGATCAATGGTAGGATAAACAGTCTCACTAGGATAGACAGTCTCGGTAGGATACACAGTTTCAGTAGGATACACAGTCTCAGTGCCGGTAGGGTCGACAGTTGGGTAAATGGTCTCAGTGCTGGTAGGATCAACAGTAGGATACAGAGTCTCAGTGCCGGTAGGGTCGACAGTGGGATAGACAGTCTCAGTAGGATACAAAGTCTCAGTGCCGGTAGGATCAATGGTAGGATAAACAGTCTCACTAGGATAGACAGTCTCGGTAGGATACACAGTTTCAGTAGGATACACAGTCTCAGTGCCGGTAGGGTCGACAGTTGGGTAAATGGTCTCAGTATCAGTCGGATCGACAGTGGGGAAGACCGTCTCGGTTTCAGGAGGAGAAGTGGTCTCCGTGGTGCTGGGATAAGCCGTCCCGGTCTCGGTAGGAGACGGGGTCTCCGTAGTGCTAGGATAAGGGGTCTCTGTGGTACTAGGATAAGGGGTCTCTGTGGTGCTAGGATAAGGGATTTCGGAGGAGCTGGCAGGGTAAGACGAAGTCGAGGTGCTGGTTTTGGTGGACGATGTTGTTGGAGGAGGGGGAGAGAGCTCGTATAAGACCCTCTTCATGTGATCCGCGTAGCTCTTACCATTGATTTGGTTGTTTTCAGAGTGTGTTGCCTCCCAAAGCATTATGCCACCAAAGTTTTCGGATACTTATCCATAAATGTTTTTGCAAGAGGCTTCACCTCCTCCGGTGTGAGATAATATATGTCACTAGCAGTAGTAGCAGTTACGCTAGCTAACAAGCCAAGATAGATTCTTGCAGAAGGGTTGGGGCTGCGCTTAATGACTTTCACCCAGTCATCGAAGGAGAAGGCAGAAGTTCTAGGATTCGAGACCCAGCTTCTCGCGGAGCAATAGTAGGTGTTATAAAACTGAACAAAGATGAAATCGAAGTACGATTTCATAATTGGCACTGCCAGCTGTTTGTCATCGGGGGGACATTGCGGTGCAGCGGAAATGTAATATTTCCTCTTCGAGTCCTCCTTGAAGCGATATCGTAGCCGATCAACCATTGTAGCATAGCCTATCTGGTCAGATACAACCGTTCAACATATGGGGGAAAGGCTCTCTTACCATAATCGCCATTATGCTCTATGTCGAAATCAAACCCATCAACAACAACATCGCCCAACGGACGAGGTTTATTACCCCATGCAGCCGTCTTGGGACCGAAAGCACCCCAGAGGAAATCGGAAAAATCAAGAGCGGATCGCAGGGTATTGAGTTCATACCTAGAGGTCGCACCACCCAGTGAAAGCAGGATCTTTTTTCCGGCAGCTTGGCAAATAGGAATGTCCTCTGCAATCTGGCGGCAGTCTTTAAGAAGTTCCGTTGGGACACCATCCTCGTTCAAATACACCTCTGATGAGCACTGGTTCCCGAAATTCGAGCCTGGGTAACCACCTTTGCCTTGTTCCGGGAAGATATGGACGAATCCTATCGGGATGATGTCCATCGAAGTTTGCTGACAGAAATGCGCCAAGCGCTGTTGGTAGGGACCTTGACCCTGGAATAAATGTCAACATCACTGAAAATACCGTAATCTAGAACCAGAACATACATAGTACACCGCAAGGTTTGTCTTGGAGTTTAAGTCAAAAGCGGAAGTGGACGAAGCCAAAAGAGAGGACACGGCCATTCCGGCCGTCAAAAAGGATTTGAACGCCATTTCGTCCAATAGATGGCGTTTATGAATTAATTATATGGTCTTGAGGGAACCAAGGAGCGTAAGACGGCAAAGCCTTCGTAAAAGAACGTGGCCGTAGAACAACGATTAAAGAGAGGACGCAAACAAAAACGTTTGCTAAAGGCTATACAGCAACGCACAAAGGGGTTGCGAAAGGAATGAACAAAACCGAGCAGGACACTGGGTGTCCATGTTGGTTTATAAGAAGGATCCCTAGGCAGAAACCCTCTCGGAGGAGAACATGGGTAATTTCCAGTGGCGTTACCATGCAAGCGGACGAGGGACACTTCCTCTGAGATAGGAGTAGTACCGACCCTCCGGCCACATACCCCACGAAGAATGCAGGAACATATCATTTGGCCAGATAGGATTGGTTCACCACTGGCGGCCCGTCCAAATATAAATTGCAAAGGGCCATTTTGCGACAGGACGGTGACAGGGGCAGTCCATGGCTCGCAAAAATATACTACTCAGGAAAACATAGGTCGCTATGGATGGGACATCAGTGGAGGGTATCTCACATGAAGTGGATATACATGCTTTCAAGGTGAAGAAGGGCTACAGTGGACCCCTTCTTCCGCGTATCATACAAGGCCCATCGCGGCAACACAATTATGGAGCATATTCGAAGTAACAAACGACCATATCTCCGGAACGCAAAGGCTCAAAGACAAATGGTTCAGCGCATCGACACAGGCATTCAGCGGCTCTGCTCCCTCGGCATTCCACCATGGCTAACCGAAGTTGCGAAGGTGAGGGAGGGAGGGAGGCTCAAGGTGGATTGATCCCAGCCCCACAAACGTTGGAGGGATAAAATATTTCGGTCGAATGAGAACAGAGCGGTTGGCCCCAAAGACGTCACGCTTAACCAATAATGAAATGGATATCCTAGATTCCCAAGACAGATGGATTATTGTAGTCGTGATGTCGGACTTTTTTGCGGAAGCGAGTTGGTTGGTTTCTCGCGGTCGGTTACCTCTAACTATCCATGACTAGGCAGGCATAGTTAACTCGGCCGCCTAAACAAATTCGATCATACTAGATCACATTAGACCTAACTAGCTGCATTTGCCCTAGCCTCGTTGCCAAATTGCCAGCGAGTCCATTTTTATCAGATACGTCTCTCAAATGACATTCGGAGAGCCCTGTCAAAATAATGAACCCGAATCGCCTCTATCCTATGAAAGTTCGCGGCTTCAGGTCTGAGACTAACCCTTCATTCACCCTTGGGAGGGCATCAGAGAGTAGATTTGAGTGCTTGGAAGAGCCGGTTTTCGTTTTTCTGGCCATGTTCACTTCCTTCATGAGGGTAATAATCTATAATGAATTCCCTGCTGGCAATTGAAGAAGCTCCAGCATCCTAGATGGGCTTAGCCAGCATTTTCATAGAGGGCGGAGCACAGGAAGGTCGACAGTGGAGTGGTGCCTTCAAAAGGCCAAATAAAAGTCATTATTGAGGCTCAGAAACTCCCCTCAATTTTCTCAACTTGACTCTAGCTTCCTTGGACCATGGGGAGAATTGGAGCCGCTATGAGCCTTCCAAGTTCCTTGGATGGTTATCAGCCAGTGACAGCCCAAGGACTGATTTTTCCAGGCCCAGAAGCAATTTCTTCGTGGATTGAGTGGACCTGGGTGTCATTGTCAACAAACAGCTAAGAAGAAGTAGCGTGAGCCATTATGATTAGGTGTCGGAGCAAAAGTGGCCAGGAACAATGCCACCCTGATGGGACTGGACTGGACTCCAGAGCCCAGAGTTCGCCCCTCACGAAGAAACCAAAGAATGCAGTTGTGGGCAGTTACGCTGTAAGTTAGTTGAACGCACGCTGGAGGTTGATTTAAGAATTTGATCGACAGGCTGGCTGTTTTACTTGAAAAGGCGCTGATCCCAACAACGTAGATGGTCCTTTCTTCCTCTCAGGGCAAACTTCCAGACCTACCCATTCTACGATACGTACGGAGTACATTAATTCTTATGGCCTATCCCCTGTAGCAAATTGGGACCCTCCGGGCGAATTTTGGATGATTTTATGCCCTGACTCACACTGCCTAGTCAGCCTCCATAACACGGCGAAACCCCTTTCAAAGCGCCGACATCAAGCAAACCCTTCCCTTCCTCCAGCATAGTGAGAAGCCTTTTGAGGCTTAAAACGGGGCATCCCCCACACTAGAAAATCAAGGCACGGCGACGCCATTGGTCGTTGACCGGAGTTAAGGAATCGGCATCCGGAGTTCAAAAATAGTGACACGGGATTGCATAAATCCCAACTGCCTGCCGTGAATGAAGGTCCGTTTCGACGAGTATAGCAAATCATCTGGTCTTTTTTGAAGGGTATTATATTATTCATATGGACTGCTTTTCTTTTTCCCTCTTCCTCTTCTTCTCTGTTTAAAATATATTTTTGCTATCATGGCGGGAGATATCCCAGTGCATCCCCAGCGCCATGCGAAATGGGCCCTAAAGAAGGTTATTCCATCAAAGGCTCCGCTTGCTGCCTTACAAAGTACCCAACCTGTGGATCCATCCCTGTTTTCTCAGTACTTTTTCCAAATCATAACGCAAATCTCGGTTATTGCAAGCTAACAGCGATCGACTCGATTCTAGGCTGAGTCGACTTTGATCGAGTGGTGATGGGGTGGTGTTGTATTACAACTTTTGTTGTTGCTACTCTTTTAGTTAGGGATTCCTATGAGGAGAATAAAAGCTCTCAAGTCTTGTCTTAACCCAAGTTTCATTCATCACCCGCTCCATAGTTGTCAGTGGCTCCAGAAATGGAGGTTTTGGCGGATATTGTGATGGGCGTGTACTCCGTACTTCGTAACTAATCGATACAGACATATTCGGTTGCTCCAACTATGTTCCACGACGGTTGCATCCATAGAACTAATTTCCACTCTCGTTAATCCCACAGAGTCGTCATAGATTATAAAACATACTACTACCACACCTAGGAATATCTCTCTATATATTATAGAAAAAACAACTTTTCCGAGTAAAATGCCCTATAATGTGATCTCACATGATATCATGTGCACCCCATCAAAATGAATTCATCTGAACAGTCAGCTCTGCAGCCTGTACAGCTCTGATATTAATCTTTATTCTTTTCTTTACAGATGTTCTCTACTGTATTTACATTCTTTATACTCTTCTCTACATTCATTCCAATCTATACATTCATTAATATACTCATTTCATGCACTGCTGCTCAGCATGTGAGGATTCTCATTCTCTCAGCATGTTTGAACAGTCTCAATTCAATGCATTATTCTGTACATGCTCTACATGCTGTCAAGCTCAATGTCACACATGTCAGTCATGTTCAGTTCAAACCTCTCACTCACCATTGAGAGATGTAGCTGCTTTTATGCTCAACTCATAGCAAGTTGAGCTGTCACACTGTGATACATGCTGTGAAGACTGTTCATCTCACCTGTTTCACACTGTCAATTGTGTCTTCAAGAACTGCAATGACTGCTGAACTCTCAATTATGAACATATCTGTAATACTAAATGCTGTTGTTTGACAGCTGCTGCAGCAGTTACTACAGCAGATAAGCCTGCTGATCATATATATATGAATTCACTGAAGTAGCTGACTCTCAATGATCTTGATACTTGAACTAACTCAACTATCTCTGAATCAGCTGTTAATTCTTTAATCACTCACAGTTAGACTGACTGTGTGATTATGTATGAGACCAGGATCAGATTTTTTAATAGTCTCATTATCAATTTGACTAATCCCATTACACAGTTTTAACATTAGATAGTAGTTTCATACTGTCTCAGTGAGACTTACTATCTACTCTTATTATATTTTTCAAATGAGATCATGATTTTCACTTCTCAATTTAAATTATTTTTCTTACTTTAAATGACTTTAAATCTCATTTGAGTGTTATCAAAAAGCATTACTTTTTAAAAAATTAAAAATAGTCTAAAAAAAACCTTAAAATGTTTAAAAATAGTAACTTTATACTGAGAATAGAACTAAATGAAATTAAATGAGATCACTTTCTCATTTTTTTCAAGTCATGATTTCATTTTAAGATCTCATATATAGTCACTTTGCATGTTTTTTTAATGACTAGTCTCAGCAGGATTCACACTAAGAAATGTATGAGATCAGATCAAATGAAATCAAACATGAAATTCATGATCTCAGCAGTCAGTCTACTCACAGCTGCTGATCTGTTCTCTGCAGCTTTCACTTCTATATTCATCATCATTAATTACTTAATTTTGACTGAATAAATGTCTACTACTCTGTCTACAGAGCTAAGCATTGAATTAATAAATATATATACAGATTGTTAAAGACTCTCTCAGTGTTTTTTACATGCTGTGTAAGAGATACTGTAAGACTGTTATCTGTTAGAGAATTCTCATCAGAGCTATATAAGCTGTTTAATAATAATATAGCTGATACAAAGTATTTCTGTAAGTATATTCAGAACTACAACTCTACTCTGACATTTATATCTCTTAAGTATAAGTAGAATTCATATCTAAGTTATCTGACTACTGACAGTCTGATGTTATTTTAAATATAGAGAGAACTCTATTATCTGCAAGAGGTATTAGAGTCTGAGTCAGATAATAATATTTATTTTACACAAATATGAATTCATAATCTGCAGTTTGATACAGATATTATAAGTAATATAAACTCTGTTATATATTCTAGTATATTTAATTATATCTATATTATATTACTTACTGTTCATTCATTTACTTTTTTATATTCTTCTATTATATTATTGACTGCTAATGTTTCTAAGCTTAATTCTTTTATTCAGCTTTACTAATTTATATAAGAGATACTACAGAGCAGCTCTGCTGTATATATCAGTTTGAACTCTATTATACAGCTGAAGATAGATAATAACTATCACTATGAGAATCTGTCTACTGTCTCAGAGATTGTAGTTATTATACAGAACACTTCTAACAGTGTCTGTTATCTCTATATCATTCTTCT